AACTTTGGATCGACGACAGGAATAACTGGAGGAAGTTTTTGCAGCAACAAGAAAAAACATTAATCGCACAGGAGAGAATTTTTGGTGAAATATTCGAGAAGTGATCATCCAACAGTAGATTAAAAACGCAACGATGACGATAATTTCAAAGTGACTTTAAAAGAAATCTGAAACGGAAAATATACCCGTATAATATACTTTTTCTGACTGATAAGATTCAACTGCTAGTGTCTGGTTATTTTTTTTAAGTTATCACTAACTGATGACTAGTGATATACTGGTTAACGGACACCATGCCAAGCATTATAAAAGCTTGCCTAAAAAATGAACAACTACCGGTATTTAGATTTGTACTTCACGGACATTAAAAAATAAAATCTGGTTCTTCTACACATAACATCAGTCTCAATTCTTTTAACTCGCAGCAACGGGCAGTATGCTTGATTGCATGAGCACCATGCCTGAAGTCGTAAACAAAATTGATCTGACACTGATCATTAAAACGAACGCAAAACGTTCAGCAGGATATAAAATCGCAATTTAGCTATATTTCAACATGTCACAGTTAAATCATGCCTTTGCGCAAAGCCTCAATAAAATCTATCGGAAAAAACTTATGGAAAAAATTATAGTGTCCTCTGCCAGGGAAGAAACCAGAGATTAATACCTGTTTCTCCTCAGATTAAAACCTCGTCCCGTAATTTAGGTACTCATGAAATCTATCATAAGGTTAAATAAGTGCTACCGTGTGGAATAACAATCGCAGCCCACACTTAACAATAATGGTCAAGATAAAACAACTGTTGTCTAATACTGAAGACTTCGCATTTTCTCTTTCTTCTTGTCACTGCGCCTCTAATTCAACATTTTTTCTCCAGCTTCTTTCTCTTCTCGTTTTTTTTCTTGTTTTACATCTAGAACTTATTTTATTTTCTGCCTTTGCAAACTCATTTTATTTTTTTCTGCTCCTTTTCTCTTATCTCTATTTTTCTACTAAATTGCGTTATTCTTATTCTCCTCCATTCTTTCAATTTTGTCTTCCCTGTCGCCATTTTCCTTCATTCACTTTTCTTGTTTTTCTTCTGTACCTCATTTTCTGCACTTTCGTTCTTAGTTCCTACTCCTTGATGGTTTTCCATGCTTATCTTTGCTTTACTGATTCTTTCATTTTCAAGTTGTCGATTTTTTTCATTTTCTAGGCAATTTCTCTCATTATTGATCTTCGGTTGTTTTTCTTCTCCTTGATACTCCTTTTCTTCTACTTATTCATCCTTACTACGTATCATTTTTCCTCATGCTAATAATAATTTTTTAATTGGAATTTCGTGGTTCCCATTCATTATGGACTGTTCAAATCATTATAAGGCCTGTAACATGCAGAATCCTAACTGTGCATCCACATGAATATTCATAAATAACGCTGACACTGGAAACAACAAGCATTAGAATAAGTGTTATTCGAAAAATGACTAACGATCGCCTCAGCTACGCAATCTTAAACGTAGATGCAAGTTCGAGCATGCGAGCTCCTTCGCTAAACAGTCATTAATAAATTACTGAACGAGCGGCTAATTAAACAGAAATCTGGCTGAACGAATAGCTGATGAAAAAAGAAAGGGCAAACCTGCTGATCTAAGTAAATCTCTCAGCCGTGAGAAAAATGACAATTACCAAAGCAATGAATTTGAAGACTATTTATTATCTAGACAGCTAATGTCCTTCATTTCCTTCGACGTAATACATGAGAACAACCGAAAAAGATCACATCAAACGACGATCTGCACAAAAAACATGGTAAGAATGCTAACGTTTTAAACTTGGCTGAAAAAATCACCTTCTTCAGTTGAAATCGCGGCATTTACTAGAAAACGTTTATAAGAGGAAAATACTGCCTAAGGCAGGGATTTGGCTCAAGATTCAAGAACTAAATGAAGCAAAATCCGTATCTTTCATCTGCACGACGCTGAACATACGAAAATAACCATCCACATCAACGTCAACAAGTTCATTTGATCTCGGCCGGTCGATCGGCCGGAAACGAGGGTTGGAAAGCAAGGTTCGTACACGAGCGATCGATTCAACAAGAAGGAAGCAATAGAAGACAGTTGATCATAATCGTCGCTGCTTGACTAGATCGATACTCTTCAATCGATTGATAGTAGTGATGGAAAAATCGAAACCTGAGGAATCACGAGCTAGCGAACAACGGGGAACGAGCGGCACGTGGCTGCTTCAATCGGATACGTGTGGGGGACGAGACGGAAACTTACACGAAAAATTCGTGAACAGAAGTCACTACACCCCACAGTCGATAGACAAACATGAACAAGGAAGAAAACGAACATGAGCGAATGTCATCGAAAGAATGATCGATCGATGAACAACACAAAAGGGGAGAGGGTGTAGAGAACAGAGAGGAGAAATGACGAAAGCAAAAGGTGAAATAAAATAACAATAAAAGAAAAAGAAAATAAAACCAATCAAATCAGACAGTTAAGACAGTAAACATTTATTTACCTCCGGTATCGGTGCGCTTAAAGGCGCCGTCCTTGTAAGGGCAAAGCTTGCAGCTGAGGTTGTCCAAGTCGTCGTCGGTTTGCAGCTGTTGCTGCTCTTGTTTGCCGCCAACGTGTTGGTTGTAATCGCCGTCGCTGCCGTTCGTGGCGGCACGTTTATAGCCATTGCCATGAGTTGCAACACAACGTTCACAGAACCACGGCCCGGTGGGCACCGAAACAATTCCGTAGCACGCTGAAACAAAATCCTATTCGTTTAGGGTCAGGCTATGGACAGATAAAAATTTCTCTATAAAAAAGTGCAATTTGAAATTTTAAATGTATAATCAGCAGTAGTGGTAGAATAAATAGAATGCCATATTATAAAACGCAAACAAATCTAAGCAAAAGACTCTTACACATCCTAAAGAAATAGAACTACGACAAGACTTCAAACATGATCTTCACGTTACCGCTCCAACTCTCACTATGATACGTCAAATCAATGAAAAAGCTTAACAAGAGAAAGTAGCAAGGTAAATGAGCACAAACGACTAACTGTAAATACACAGCAATAAGACCATTATACACACATAATATTATATCTTATACATAAAATATGGGCTATGATTGATTCTAGTAAATCCAAGAGTTTCTGATTCCGGATTCTGCCGAAACAAAATCATTTTTCGTATCCCGGAATTTCTTTATTCCCTATTCGCGAAAGTTATTCGCGAAACTTATTCCCTATTCGCGAAAGTCGTAATAATCCACGGCGGAATCCGACAACGTAATCATAAACGAAGAAACATCGACTATGCAAATGTAATTGGCCAATGAAGACATCTGCACATGGTACGGTTGACTACAGCTACTATTGTACACGGAAAATCAATCAAAAGTAGGTTATAGCTTTTTTCACAAGAAAGCATCCGACTGTCCAAGATTTGACAAACATAATGTAGTATAATACGCATAAAGTCTTGTAATAATTGTTGCGACAGTTTCAGAGACTAAACGGTCAATCTCTGAAGGATCTTCTCGACGAGCTAGCGACTGTTGCTGTTACGATGCTTATCGGTATGATACCGATATCACCGGGGCTTAATATCCGGTATCAATATGTCAGTCTTTGGCTGCAATCAGCTGTACAGAAGATTTGTCATTCCAAATTCAAGCATCAAACATCGACTAGAAGTCAGACAATAAATTTTGTTACCCCGTTGTTTAAGTCCTCACGTATCAATAGCAAAATAACATCATCATGATAGCTTCGGTGTAAATTAAAAAACGCTATTGACAGGTGTCACATGACAATACATTCAAGTGTTTTGAGCGCAACAAGTCTCGCACATTGCTTATTTACGTTCTGTTTCATTCCTGTTCCAGACAACTCAAACTTTCAACATGAAAGATAGATAAGTGCTAATTTGCAAAGTATTATAGAATACTTATTTTGCTTTCTAATTTACTCTTTTACACCATTTTAAAAATAACTAGAAAAGCAGTCTGTTTTAACAATAAAACGTGAACATTTCAGTGACTGCTACAAGCACCACCACTACACGATACTAAAATCCGCTTGAAACCTGAACCATAGATTAACGACATCTGACCTCGTTGGAATGGTTTTGCAACAGAGAACGAGGGGAACAAGGCGAAGGATACTGAAACATACATAAATCGAACCAGTAGTATTACCCAGAGCAATACAATAGTCTAATTTCTTATACTCTGCAATTAGCCTTCGAAAAGTTGAGCTATAAAACTCGGTATGTCATACAAGGTATTATGTAAGATGG